ATGAAAACTTATATGATTTATTGATTTATATATATTTAGTCGAATAATTAAGAACAATATTGCATAATACTTTTGTTGATCTAATAATAATATAATATTTCTCTCTCCCGTCACGTTTTCATACGTTTCAACATAGCTGATTGACAGCAGAATAGAAAATTTGCTATGAAACATATAGAAGCCCGCATGAGATTCTGCAATGTCACGAACAACACAGCGCACAATGTACCACGAGACGAAAGAGAGAGAAAGTGTTGTAACATAACAGAAATTACACAACGAATTGAATGACTGTCACCAACACGATTTTACACTTGCAAATTAATCCTCTCCCTTCGATTTGTAACGATAATTACCAGCGCGCACGATATATGGCGACTTTTCCGTACTATCAGTTTGCATTTTCTTTGTAGCTGAGATGCATAGCGACGATAGGTTGCATTGCGTTGTATTTCAACTTGCTAGAATCGAGCATCTTCTACGGCTGCATAGTCACCTACTCTCTGTCTGATGTCGACTACATTACACTTTGGAATTGCTGACTCTCTCTCGCTAGTGCATTCCTCTCTGCGTACTATTTCTTCGTGTCATTGTGCCAGGGATGTAGCAGTATATTTCGATTCCCTTTTTCTGTTGACAGGAAATATTATTGAATCTTGAGTGTTGCGATGTTTGATTTGATGTTAGAATACAAATAAATAGTGTATATAATTGTATAAAAAGTATAGGTAGAAATGTATGATACATATACATATACGTATTTATCTAAGTACATGAATTATTTAATTTATCATTACTTCAATCGTGTTTGTTTGTATATAATAGAATTAAATTATTAATTTTATAAAACACATATAATTAAAAATTCTGTTTTCTTTATTTTTAATACTGAAAATATTATATAATTATTACATATATTTTATTTTCAATAAACTTTATTCTTTTTTTTAATCGTATTTATTTTTATATATAAATCGTAGACCTTTATTTAACATCAAGGAATTAAAAATTTTGGCTATGGATGAATTACTCGATTAATTATTATATATATATCATATTATAATATTACGATTTAAATTAGAAGTATATTGTACATAATCAAATAAGAAATAAAAAAGATGAGAACATAGGTTAAGAGACACATGCAAAAACCTTTCTATAAAATTTTGTATACCATTATATATTCATTGTCAATTTTTCTACTTTGTTTTTGAAAACTTCCTATATGTTAGATGTCGCGTTTAGTTTATAAGAAAAATATGTTCAGTTAACGCGATATCCATTTTTTTTCTGTAAGGTTTCTTGTTATTGACAATATTGTACTTTTTAGTCACACGTGATTTCCACCTTCACACTCACATTCCTTCGCTGTGCTTTATCTACACACACACACACACACACACACATATCACGCTTGTCTTATCTCCACATCATTTTTTGTACTTCAACTTATTGTATCTTATCGAAAAATATCCGTTTTCTATTTTACATTCCATTTCGATAGTTGATTTACATACTTGTTTGTTTTTTCTATCTTTACGATCCAAAAGCATAAAGTTATAGGGAAAGAAAGATGTTTGTTTTATGAACAAAATAAAATTCATGAGCAAAAAACTTTTCCATTTTAAATTAAATTTATAGATATTAGTATTTGTATAATATTAGAAATCCTAAATATTTTAATGTTTAAATAACAGAAGTTAATTTAAATAAATATAAAAATAATAATTCTTAAAGTAAAATTTATATGTTTATAAATTGCAAGAGAACAAAAGTATGATATCTGTTTTAATATTGATATACCTATACTTTTTTTGTAAATATATATTCTGCAATATTTCTGTTTTTTTTTATTGTATAAACGCCATAAAATAAAAATGACGCAAAAAAAATTATTAGCTATTATTTTCCAAATTATTATTTAACTTAAAGTTGCATTACAATATACAAGTAATAATGATGCATATTGCATTGAAGATATCTATATGCAGTTTGTACGAATCATGCCATCTCCATATATCTAGACAAAAAGTGACTTACCACTCGTTATAATTATCACACATACCTACATAAATTATATAGTGCAGTCGTCCTACGCTACGCATCAATACGGAGTTTGAAACCGTACTCAGTAGTGAATTAATACCTGTCGACGATATGTCAGAAAGATACAAGCACTTCCAAGGCACACCTTGTAACTGTGTGCATGATATCCTGGAAGTGGCAAAAAAGCTTCATCAGCCTATTTGATCGTAGCCAAAGTTTATGTTTCGAACGATATACGTAACTGTTAACTACTTGCGCTGGTTCTCCCTACTAATTGCTACGCATTAAATCACTTCTATCTTCCGTGAACTTAACACCAACATTAAACACGGATGCTGAATGATGAGAGATAAGGATTAAAAAAAATATAATAGCCTATCATATCACAGAGAAGAAGTGAAAATTTGGTAGCATTAATAATAATGAGTATAGTTATTATTTTTATTAAAGGAATAGAGAAAAATGTTCCTCTCTCTCTTTATCGGTAGAAATATTGTCATATGTTTCGTTGTCATATTTGGAAATATATAATTAAAACTATTTATTGTTTTTCACAATAAATAGTATTAATTTATTTATTGTGTAAAACAAAGTAATTGTGTGATAATTATAAAACAAGAAAGAAAATAATTTTTTTAATCAATTGCTTAAAAGAATCCGCATAATTTTGATGTATTGCATAAGTCTTTAAGAAATTATAACGACTGTATTCAATATTGAGAAAAAAATATTAAAACGCTTCAAATAACTAAAAGTCTTCACAAGTAGCGATTAATTCTTTTCTTTAAATTTTTTACGTTTCAAAACTTCAGTGCTCTGTGCCGGCTTCACTGAATGGCACGATGCCGAGAGAGTTTGTAAAACATTTAAATAGTATTTGCAAATTTATTCCTAGGCGTCGGTGAGAGCATTCCTAGCGTGGTGGATAGCGCGGAATTTTTACGAGTATCTTGTAAACGAACGCGCGCATAAGGTATGGTAGATAAAGGGAGGAGTCGCGTGAAACACCGACATGGTTACTCCGGCGTTGCTGTTTCTCGCGTTTTTTTTTTCTTCTCTTTTCTTCCTTTCTATTCAGGACCCGTCATCGCGATGCAAATATGTTCGATGCAAATGCTCGCCTCCGGAGAGCAGCGGTAACGGAAGTGGTAGCACGTACGCAGCCGTAGATTGCGCACTCCGTTATATGTATTTCCTGTCCGACGCGAGCCGTTCCGGTGTCTCCACACGTGCATTCGTATCGATTCACATGTGGATCTCATCGTAGACCACCCGGGCCACTGCGCCGCGTTTTTAAGCCCAGCATAAGACGCGTTTCTCGCTCGCGCGAGCTTTATCGTGGCAAACCTTCGCCGAAGCGCAAACCAAATCTCGATATAGTTACTTATTGATTCTCTCTCTTACATACCCTGAATAAATTGATTACGAAAACAATTGAGCCAGTCGTCAAAGTTTTTAAATACTGTTCTTTATATAATATACAAATTTAGTAATAGACTTTATATCTCTTTTGTTAACTCTTTTAAGCAATGTCAAGCGACATTTTTATCTTATATATTACAAATGTAATTAAATTTATATTAATTGCGACGTTAAATTTTGTTAGATTATACAGGCCTGAATTTCATTTTTTATGAAAATAATAGGATATAAAGAAGAAGAATAAGCTTTTATATTTTTATACTTTTTATTTAATGAAGAATTGTATTATATATTTTATAATAATAAAGAATATGAATACGATTTACAAATACTACTTTATAAGCTATGTGAACGTATGTAAATAGAATTCGTTGGAAGTGCAGAGAAGCCGGGATAGTTCGCTCTAATTTTAGATTCTGTTACCGAGCAAGCATATGTACCTTCAGCGTATTTCGGCGTATTATGTTCGACGGTCCGGAAATAAAGTCGCCTTTCAACGTCGCGCGAGTGAGCACCTACACGCGACGACTTCCGGCTGGCTCAACGTTTTGTTTATTTCTCTGTTATCGCCGTAACTTGCCCGTCGCGGCACGCAGAGAATCACAAAGTAGAAGCGTTTGGTTGTATGTACTCGATGTGAGGAAACTGTGTGAAAGGAATACTAATCCGTTACACGTGACATTTATACATTCATATCATATTTGTCGTGTTTCAAATGCGAAAACGTTATTTTTATGTTACTTATAGTAGTTAATTAACACCGCTTTTTCAGACTTTTGTTATTTTTGAGCTCTTTTTTGAAATTTCAACCTGCAGAGATCCTCTTTTATCCCATTAAACGAAAATATCTGACGTAATATTTTGTGCACAATTTTTTCCTATTTTTTAAACAAATTACACCCCAGATGTATCGCCGAGGTTACATAACGTAACTTTTTCTATTCTGTAGAATACGACTAACGTATTAGCATTGAAAACTATATTTTTTATCTTATAAAAAAATTACGTTAGTAATTTAATTTCTAATTTTAGTATTAAATGCAGTATTATAATCTTGTAAATTTTTATCGCATATATTAATATTTTTAAAACCGTGTTATTTGCCAAATGGAAGCAAATTAAATTAGAGAAAGCACGTTTTATATAACCGGTTTAAAAAATTTCAGTTTCACCATATTGAGATTAAATCATATTTGTTCTGCTATTATACGATGCATATATAATATCGCAGTTGTATAAAGTGCGCGGGCATTACGCCGAATGCATTCTGATAATAACAATTGCAATCGATATAAACTATGTCTGCATACAATTCTCTCGATTTGAATATTTTAAGAGTTTTTTTCTCTCTCTCTCTCTCTCTCTCTCTCTCTCTCTCTCTCTCTCTGTGATTCAAAGAAAACAATTTTTAATTTAATATTGATAAATTTTTAATATTAATTTTTAATATATGATATTTATTTTATATTAAAAAGTTACAGTTTAATAACGTTAACAGTTTAATAATATATCCTTGTGTATGTGATTGTTTTCCAATTTATTTGTTCAAGAAAATTCATTTTTAATTCTCTTTTTAAATATTATTCTACATACAACAAAAATTTAATTGGGTCCATTGATTCACTCATTCTCTTCTGATCTACGTTCTGTTTTCCCTTGCTGCACTTGTCCAAAGTACGTTGCTGCTCCTCTTTTTCCAATATAGTTCTCAATAGCGGTGGAACACATTCGTCTTGAAGACCGTTTCTTTTGGTGCGACAGGCCTCGTATCTTTCCAACTGATAGATGGGAATAAAATCCTTCCCGTAGCGAGCGAGCAACTCTTGCGAACTAGGCAAGCGCGATGTATCCCCGGAAATCTTAGGCTTTAAGCAAGCACGCCTAAAGGCTACCGCTGACTTCTGACATGTGGGTACTTTGTCCGACTTGGCGGATTCTATCCGCGTGACCTCAGTTCGCAGTATCTGCTCTGAAGGCAGACGTTGAAGTCGTTGATCATTGAGACGTTTTTGCATCGTACATCTTTCTATCGGCAAAGACTTTGCATCTAATGCCAAAGCTTTAGTGCGAAAGAAATCGCTACAAACGTCCTTGGATATTGATCGGACTGACTGGCAACAACTGGCTGAACATTTCTTGTATTTTTTTGAGAGTTTCTTGACGGAACTTGGTAATTCGAAAGGATCAAGACCGTTTTTATGTGTTATACGAGAAAGTACATCTTTCATCTCTGGGAAGAACAAGATATCAATTTTCAAATCTGCTTTATCTGGACGTGCAAGTTCACAGTCTGGAGGGGAATGATGTGTCACTTCCGGTTTCGACTTCCGAAACCGTGAAACACTTTGTTTGGAAAGAGCTCGTTGACAAGGAACTTTCGTTTTTTTATCGGAAATCTTCTTAGTGGAATCAATTGACTGAATGATTTTGCAAGAATTGTCTTTCTTTAACTTTGATTCTAAATGAATGCAATAATTAGTTTTATCTTTGCTTGTCTTTGTTGAACAATGAATAATTCTAGCCAAAGGACCCTTGGGTGTAATGCATTTGATAAAAATCATTGGCTGCGTAGATAATTTGTCATCATCATAGTAGGATGCCTTTAAAATATTTTTTGATGAAGGACAATGCAATGTTTTGGAACTAGAGCCGCCGAGTTGTTTTTCGTGCTTATCAGTTTTTAGAATCGCAGAAGAGACAGTTTTCACCGGTACTTTAACTCTACCAGTTAAAGCTGTTGAGTCATCAATGTGGTTATGAAATTTTAGAATATTAGTTGCTGGAAGTAAGATGAATTTATCACTCCCAATTTGAGAAAAATCAGTCGAGCTAAATTGCTGCTTTATGTCTTCGCGTCGCGGTATCATTCTGAAAATAATAAAAAATCGGTGCGATAACAATTTCCTAGCGATTTGCTACATACATTGTTTTGCTGGTCAAGTATATATAATGTATGTATAAAATATATCAAATATTTATAGAGATACGTCACATACTAGTATTATTATCATAAAGCATTATTCTATTTTGAATATTTTGACTTCGTTGTTTTTGAGCTATGGATATATTCTTTAACATCTTTCGATTTAATGTCAATAGGTATATACAAGGTGTTTCAAACTTAAATGATCAAACTTCCAGAGAGTTGTAATACTGTGTTTGGTTGCAGCACGAGCTGTTCGTACTGATGATACGCTTGCATACCTGCAAGAATTACAAGCAAATGATAACGTGAATAAATAATAAATAAGCACAAAAATGAAAACTACGTTTTGTCTTTTTTGCGATTTTCTTCAAAACGGAGCAAAGACGAGCACATCTCTAAAAGACTTTTTGTCTTACAATTAGTTGACCGATGCCCTACACGCTTCCGAAGTTTCGTCATTTAAATTCGGGACACCCTGTATATGTATTAATAGTTCTATAAATCGGAATATTTTGCTTATTCATTCATTATTTTTTTTATTTTATTTGACATTTTTTATATTACTGAATCTATTTACGATATTTCTTTTTAAAAAGAATACTATTTTATCATTGTTTATTGATTCGATCTTCAAGCTGTTAAGTTTCCGATTTTTCATTCGATCAATATATCAGTTCGATTCTCACGGTTTTCTACTTTGAAAATGAATCGCGAACAACATTTTCACCAATAAATACGAATTTCGAACGGTTGCTATAGTGTCAGCGGCCGTCTGAATGATCTTGGCCCTCTATCGGTCGAAAGACTTTGAAGTGGTACTCTAACACGGTGCATCTCGGTGGATACTGCGAATTATGATGGTAGATGAGCAAGGTATATGCAAGGCCGCGAGACTATTGAATCGAATAATATACAGCTGGTATTCGAACTTATGACGCCTTTATCTTGCGGTAGTCCGAAAATCTTTAGAAATCTCTACTTTTTTAAATCCCGTAGCCACACCTTTGATAAATTTCGCGTTAAATGTCTCCGATCGCGTCTAAATCGAGAGAAAATAAAAGAAAGACTCAGAATCTTTGTGGTACATACGTGGTAAAGTTTCTCAAGGTCGCGATGCTCGTTCGGATTCGAATTACGCGTCTTGTATTGCTCGACGACTTCGACCGCTGACTGTGCTGCCTGTTACCGGCTTGTTAACCGGTGGAGAGATATTTTTTCTACAGAATATCTGCTTGCAATCACATTACGTTGGGCAGCTTGCATTTCGCACCGCTTCGACAAGCGATAATTCCAGTTTGCATTTACCGTCGCATAATTGAATAATGTAGCGGCTATTTTTTAACATGGATAACATTCTACATTTTTTTTTTTAAACAAGTTTAATGCTTATACAATATAACAACTTTAATGCAGACAACTTTAACTTATACAGATTTATTTATGATCGAAACTTTGCGTAATGTCGAAAATAAAAAATAACTATATATATGAAATAATAAATAAAAATAGTTGATATCATCAACCAGTTTAAAAGAAAAGTCTTTGTCCTAATAAGTATTGATAGTAACAATAAACACGACCATAACAATTACAATCGTGCGATACGTTGATATTTTAATTACCGGCTATATATAGAAAATACGCATGACAAAGTGGCAGCTTCACGGTATTTACTTATGGCGCACGTTAAAGAATGAGAAAAGTATTCGCGATGAATAAGAAAGCGAGATAAAAGAGGCAGAATGAGAGAAATAAAAAAGAGAAAACGATCTCGTAGGACGCAGCTGCTCGAAAGAAGAAGATATGCAGAAGACAGAAAAGTGGGAAATATGGCAAAAAGGCAAAGAGAGCATTGTAACGGGAGAGAGAAGTCTCCCTTTCATGATGACTCATTTACAGTTATGTACGTACATACGTCACCGCGAATTACTGAGACGAGTCTGTGACATTTCTTTCTCGACGATTTAGCCCGCAAGCGAAATACAGACCCATCGTCCTGTCTTTTTTGCGGCATTGCTAAGAGAATGAAAGGACTCTCATGATTCATAAAACGCTACGTTTCCGAATGAATGGCGCCATTCAACATTGTCGTTTGAATATTTGTAACTGTCAAAATCTTACAAGTACCATGTGTAATATGATGCATCTTTGTTTAATATTAATACTTGAGTGCGTACAATTTTATCTTTTATTATGAATTTTCAAGGAAAACCAGAGATTTTAAAATCTTATTAAAGTTAGACTCTATGAAATAATTACAATTAATTTTTTTGCTCGAGATCACGATACTTTCTTTAGTTTATACGTTTACTAATTTTATCACAAATGTCAGACATAACTTGACTAACTACCTAACAGGAATAACTAGCTAACAGGAATATCTTATATAAGAAAAAAAAACTGAGCAAAAAAATAGATGTGAGATATTTAATTTAATCATGTGAGAAACGAAAAATTCTATTTATATTAATGACTGAAAATGGCACACACACGCACAATGACTATGATAATCGACACATGGAGGTGTAAGGCCGGAATAATGCGTGACAATGCCAGTCACGAAAGTTGGTTCGCGGTACGTGATCACGAATGCGATTCGCATTGTCGAATGCCTACAAATTTTGCACCGGTCACTAAACTGGTCCGTCTGTCTGTCCATCTCTTCGTCCCGTCAATCGATTCAAATCCCAAAATAAGCATGTGCTACCCAATGTCCGGCAAGCATATGCAAATAGCTCCACTACTCCCCTATGGAGAAAGAAGCTACCGACACACACATACATTATGTTACAGCTGCCCTCATTCGGCTCTGTACAAATTTTTTCGCTCGATTTCATATGACTGCACGCCCATAATGCATCCCACTTTAGGGTCTAATAATGAATAATCATTTTTAACAAGGGGAACGGCGATAACGTGCGATTTTTGTATAGGGCTATTATGAGTATTAAACACTAATAGATTATTTATGATGTACGCTAAAATATTCATTATCATATCACAAGGACGTACATCATTTTTTAACGATCCATAACTTTATGTCATGACTTGTCATTCTACGATGATTTTACGACAATTTGCATAAATTTAACTTTACGAAAATTCACCATCGAGTAAAGATTTAATTTTCTGTTCCGATTTCATCTTTCTGTTTCTCTGTATACTTAAAGGCTTTTAAGCAAAAGTGTTATTACAACTATTAAACATACAGGTTAATTTGGGAAACTTTGCCGATCGTTTCGAGAACTTTTGTCATCTTGTAAAAATCTGCTGTTTTCGCTTCTCTGCGTTCTTTGTTAAAAATTTTTGGGGATTTCTTCAAACTGTTAATTTGTCTACTTTGTAACTTCCGAAATTTTGTGCATTGTAACTGAAATTTTGACACTTCGCTATCACTTGAAGTTAACCGAAATTAACAAAGCCGACGTCTTCTCGAAGTGAATGGAAATAAGATCGAATATATTTCCAAATTCGATCTATTCATCAGTTCTTTTTTCATCCGTTTTATTCACCATTTAAATCTATATATATCTTGATTCCTAAGAAAATACAATACTTTTTACAACGCAAAGATATTTTTTTTGTTCTACAGATAATCAGAAAACTATTCGACAAGTTTAAAGATAAGTTCGGCAAGTTCGTGTTTAAATATTGCACAAAATATCAGTTTGTCGTGGTATTCGCTTGTTCAAACAGCGCAACAGACAGCACCTATGCGGTTTCGTTCCGCTTGAACGGTAGAACAAGCATAAAAGCAACTTCGCACATGCGACAAGCCGCAGGGCCTTTCGCTCTGTAGAAAACGGGAGCAATGGTCGCTATGTCGACAAGTTCGTGATTCTTGCTCCTATGTATCTGAGTAACAATCTTTATCTTAATTGATTTAATTTTTATGCAAAGATCATACTGTGGTGATAAAATTTATAGTTCAGTATCTGTATATTAATGAATTATCATAAATTAACAGATTAAAACATATAAGATTTACTGATCTTCAAGCCATCTTCGTCATCATCCTTCTTTTGGCAGCGTTGTCAAGACACGAGATGGCAACTGTAAAAAGAGTGAGGGATGAAAAGAACGAAAGATGGTCGGTGACGGTCGTTGAGACTTCGCCTACACGCACTCCGCTAAGGTCCATCTTCCCACACGTTATTCATCTTCCTTCAATGCTCGCTCCCTTAATCTCCCTTCCTCTTCTCTCCTTTCTCCCCTGCTTAATCTCGCCGTAAAATCCGACGTTTACTCCCTGCGTACAGTCGAGGAACCGGAATTGAGATAGCGCCACGTTAATTGCCGTCGATAATAGGATGCGTAATGGAATGTACAGTCGATCAATCGCGCCGCATCTTTGTACGCCACGGCTAATAATTACGTCGCGCTAATCACGTATCTACGTGTGTATACTTTTTTTTACTAATTGACGATGCAATAAACGTGACCCTCATATATTGCAAGTACCTTAAAGAAATATCTTCACATTAATGCATTCTTAGTACAAATATTGTATGTTATATTATATTATATGCAAAAGAGTTTTTTCTTTATCTTCGATATATAGTTGTGTATGCACTTATTTCCAAATTATTACCGATTATTAAATTAATCGATAATTATATTAATAATCTTATTTTATATATCCGGCAAAAACATACACTACGTATCCTTCGTTAATTCCCCATACTTGCGTCGAGTCCCGCTGTACCGAAGTACCGTACAGGAAGTTATGCTTAACATTTAATCATTTCTGAGATCGAGTGCGAGACTGCGATCTTGTAATTTCCTGTAAGCAATTACAATTTTTATGATGTATAATCGCAAGATTCGGGTCATATAAGAAGTTTACAAACACACAAATACATTAACGGAAAAATGAATATTTTCTTCTCATATCTACATATAATACATATATTAGCTATATTTTTAGCTTGTTATGCAAATTATAATTTAATTTTGATGAAACGTAGGTATAATATCGAAAGTATAAGTATATTAAAACACATCTTACATTGAGCTTAATTAACTAATCTTAATATTAATTTGGACTCGCAAAAATTTATAAAATTAGAGTAAATACGATTAATCCGCACGTTAAGAACGCAGCTAGTATAGCGCAATAAATAAAATGTGCAAACTTCAAATACAATATATTGATAATAAAACAAATACTTAAATTAACGTTGTGGTTCTTTACTTAAACTATCTTCTGAATGATCAACGTAGTCAGAATAATGATGACAAAAAAAGATTCAAGTACAAAAATGGAGAGGAGAAGAAAATTGTATTGTCGATCCCAAGAGTGATAATTCTCTGCAGACCAAGAAGATGTCAGAGTTTGGAATGTTGATCACAGACTTTTTCTAATATTGATTATACATTTTTTGTGATATATAATTTATATATTATACATCTACCACAATTGTCATGACAATGAAAATTTTATTATGATAAATGAATCGCGTATATATTGCGAAAATTTCTCATTTCGATTCACGTTCTTTCAATCGTTCTTTCAAACATTCTATTAATCTCGTTATTAGAAAAAAGTGTTTAATTGCCATATTATACTAAGATCAGTGCTGTCTACTCGTTTAAGTACAGGTCGTTAAGATTCCCTGTTGTGCACGGCGGATGTTGCGAACGTCAGCCTCAAAGGCACGTGCTTAGACGTCTGCTTTCGGTGCGAGGCAGATAAGTAGTGACGTCGAAAACGTGCTTGTAAATGCATTTCCTAGGCAGCACTGTCATAAAATGCTAATTGCATTATACACCTAACAAAAGGTTCAGAAATGGAAAGGGACGAACGTCCAACATTCGTGTCTTTTCCGAAGTTTCTCACATTTTTAAATAAAGGCACAGATAGAATTTCTGGTCATAAATTTTAGTTCGTGAAATGTATACATTTTTTTGTCAAAAAGATGTTCAATTTCTATTGCTAGCACGGAAATTCAGCGCATTCTCAATAATGAAATAGATTTTTTCGATAATGAAATTTTCTATATACAGAAGTACCTTTGTTCGCATAATAAATCTGAAAGTACGAATCCGGTCGTAACATGCAAAATGAAATTTCCTGTGTGCAGCGTGTGGGCAGCGCAAAGAGAATCCGCAATCCTCGAGATTGCTCGCTTTGCTCGCTTTACAATCGCATCCGTATACCCGGCTCCGGGTCATTATTCATTTTAAGCGGCGGCGGCATAGCGCGTCAATCTCCACGATGAGGAAAGCGCGTTCATCAGCGCCAGCGCCGGATCTTGCGCATTATTACAATTAGTGATGTCGCAAACGATACAAACGATCGTGTCTCACGACACGCGGAAGTTGCATTGTGACTCGGTGTAAAAATTTGTGACTTGAACGCAATAGGAGGCATAAATTAAAGATGCAAAAATGCAATTCAAAATTTCCAATATTTTAATATTTTATATAATATTTCTGAATTTCTACGAGAAATTGTATTCAATTTTTGTAATGAGAATACCTTAAATGGCTTAAATTATATTTGTGCTGTTTCTTTTTAACATTTAGAATTTGTAGATTTATTTGAGCTCAGTAAAATAATTTGGAGTTACGTTTTATATAATACGTAGTTATTAAATGTCAGTGAAATTTCGAGTTTACTTCTTCGCAATTCACTTAACTGATTATGAACGTTAATTGCGTTAATTATACATACAAACATATTTTAATTGGTATATGTTGCAACATCGATAAATCTGTTATAAAAATCAAACTGGCTTCGATTATAAGAGTGAAAGGAGTAGCTGTGAAGGGTTGTTTTACAACACGTATAAAAGATATGGTGAAAACATATATTACATATAAGGCAATAAATATTCTGATCTATCTTTATATGGATTTAATAGAAAATAATTTATGGATATTGATCACAAACATGATTATACAGACGTAAAAAAGTTTTTTGTTCCGAAGATTAAACTATGATATTCTTATATATTGTGACGCTCTTAAACCGAATCCAAAAATTGCTTCATTCTGTCACAATTTTTTTGTTGTTGACAGAAAATAGCTCAATTCTCCAATATATATGACTTACCAAATTGCATATGAACTGTTTAAGTAACTGTAAGTTTACATATTATCGTTGAACTACTTTCTCTTATTATTTTAGCTTACATATTAAAAACCAAATAACTTTAAAAATACTGGAAAATTAAACTTTTTCGTTGATTTAAAAATTGTGATTTGATGGAGCAGTTTATAAGTTTATTAAACTTTTTAAAAAGGTTATATGCGCGTATCAAGAAGTTAATAAAATTTATATGTCACAATGAGATTTGATCAATCATATACATATATGCAATTTTATAATTTTATACGAATATAATTTTATGTGAAATTTTTATTTATCTCACGTTAGAAAATGAATTTTTTGGTTTGCCTGATAAAATAAAGAGAAAAAAAGATTAAGAAAATTGTACGAACTAGGAGCAGATGTGTAACGCGTAAAAGTGAAATTTTCACACGAGTTTACTTTCAACGAGCATTTCAAAGAATTATCGCGTGAACGCACACGTTTTCCCCGATTATGATTAGAATAAATTATAATTGTGGAAATAAAAAGAGAGACACTTGTGAAAGCAAATAAATGCATTATCTACTGAAACGCTATATGAACACGGTTGAAAGGGCTTCTTATTTTTTAAACAACAACTTCGAGCGAAAACACGAGATAAAGATCATGAAAATTTCACGTAATATTTTTGTAAACGAAAGCAGCGTTACTGAAGTCGATCTCAAATCATGATAGTATCTTTATTTAATTTGTAAATAAATTTGAAACTTCTTTCTCTCATATTTTGCACATATTTTGTCTTGATGAAACTTGCGTTTCGATCGGCATGGATATCTGAAATTCGAGAGAGCTTTTCGTCGACGATCGCGACATATAAATCGTCCTAAGCCATCTCAGAGACTAGTTATCAAGGTACGAGAACGTGGCTTTGAAATCCGAACGGTTCACACTGAGCCGGCGTTATTTATCGAGTCATATCCTTTCTCAGTCCTTTTGCCTGCTAGCCTTGAACGCATTTCTACGTCTACATATAAATTCGGCTGTATGAATTTTTAAACTGACAAAAAGCTTGAATTTTTTATTATTTTTTTTCTTCACTGAAATATTTGGTAATTTTGTCCACTAATGATCGTTATTACGACAGAAACATAAAAATTTAATAAAATTTGTGAAGATATGTAAATCTCTCTCTCTCTCTTCGTCTCTTTTTAAAAAAAAATTATAGGATATAAATAATGCAATTATTTTTTGCTAATGGAACTGAAAACGTATAATCGCTCGTAAAAAAAACAATCAATAGATATTAAATTAATGTAATTACATAAATTTAAGATAAAATTATCAATTACTGAAATTTACAGTCTTTTTTTAAACGGTTACTAATATTTTTTCTTAAAACAACCTTGCATGGGAATGAAAATGACCGTAAATTATGATCGATTTTACGCTGATTTTGAAATGGAGCGGCTCGGAAGAAGCAGTAGAATGACGAAGAAACAGTTACGGACATGACTTTGGTTGAGTCATAGAAATTTTCTTAGATATATTTTATTTGCTGGAGAAAATTATTGCCGTTTTTTTAAGATTCTTATCACGTAATAGTAGAACGGTCACTATATTTCAAAATTGATCGATCGAAAATTAATCGAGGAAAAAATATATTTGAAATGAAATAATACCGAGTATAATTCAATGAGAAAGATCGTCACTCTATTATAAGTCGTATCATTCATATTTCTTATTTTATTATTTTTTGAATAAATAATACATATAATTATTATTTCTATATATTAGTTTAGAATTTACTACTTCATATGTACATACAGCAATACTACGCGTGCATAATTTGTTTGGCACATACAGCATTAATCTCCCGAGGTTGTAATCAGGATTTCTATTTCAAATAGTGGAAACATTATACATTGTATGCCCGCGTAACAATTAGCACGTCGTTATGTAAGACATCCCGCAGTTGAAGTTACCTCCCTGGTTATCATTACGTTTTAATTACTTCAAGTGGTGTTCATGATCCGTCCGTAAAACACTTTCACATTATTGCAATATCGTTGATCACATGCAGAAAATAAATAATATGCTTGTAAAATAAATAATGACTTGTTCCAATCTATTGAAAATTGTAGAGAAATTTTTGTTGCGCAAAATCAGGTCGACGAGAAGTAGGTATAACGAGATAGTGAACTGGTAGGTTTAATTCACGATAACGGAGCTCACTTCACATAATTCTATTTAATTTACTCTAAAGTCTAGACTCTTAATAGTTCCCTCGCTGGTCGTCAATTAAAGCTGACACTTGTCAGAAGCGATTCTTGTTTTTTTTTCGCAGTATCACGTAGCATCTAAGTGTCGTTTCAACTCTGAACTTTATTTTAATCTACCTCTCTCTTATTTTTTAAAAATTACAGTACAAATGTACAAAATTTATCTTCACATTATATTTGCGGAAATTGATATTATAAAATGGAGTAACTTTGACCCAATTGTGACAATGCTCAGAATGCATGTCAAAATCCGGATCTAAAACTTTTTTTGAAGACATGTAAGACACGTCTTATGTTCTGATTTCGGACATGCGTACTGTCTAAGCATTTTTTTTTAATTTGAGCCGAAGCTGAACTCTGACTGAGTTAAAGTTGTCTTAATTGAGTCAAAGTTTTATAGTGCAAAAAAGAAATAAATTATACTTCTTTTTATATTTAGAAAGATCTTTTTCTATTTTTTATAGTTTTTTTTTCAAAGAGAGGAAGAGAGAGAGAGAGAGTTGTTATATGCTTTTAGTATTTGTTTTTGTTTCCTTAGAAAATGATAGATTTTCCTTTCATTTATCCGAGCATATCACTGCACTTGACGTGGATCATCCTGACCATACAAGCGTGCACTTCTGGAAGTCTAGTCGAGTGCAGCGTACAGTCGACGCGCGTGCATTCGTCGCCGATCCTCCGACAGGTCGGCTGTCTCTCTTACCCTCTCTTTCTCTCGTTTACGAGCGCCGAGAAGACTGCCGCCGATAGAGGCGCTCGTGGCACGCTCGGATTAAGTCCGGCTCGTCGAGCCAGATAGCCGTGAGTCCGTCCGCGGTGCGGACTGATCGCGCGCAACACGCTGTCGTACGCGCTTTTCGCGCAGAAGAAACGCGTTTGTCGACAACGGACGGTAAAAGAAACGCACTCCCACTCGCACGCGGGTGGATTGCGTTACGACGCGATCGGTGAGAAAAAGAGAGAAGGGCGGCAATCGTCGTTCGCGAGCTCGTAAAAAAAAAAAGCGATCCTGACAGCTGGATCGCCACAACTCGCGAGAACACCTCTTACTTTTCTTAGCGCAGCAGCCGTGCGACTGTCGCTCGAGGACAGAGCTGCGTCGCTTCGGTGTTCCGCACGCGGTAAATCGTATTATCGCGGATAGTTCGAGCGTAAATTCAGCGTCGTGTGTGTATGTGTGTGTATGTGTGCACGCGCGTGTGTGTGTGTGTGTCGCGAAAGGTATGCAATCGTATCTCGGTGAGAAAAGAGTTTTATCTCTGTGATGTGCGACGCTGTGTATCTCGGAGTGAACAGGGAGGCGACCGATCGCTCTTCCTCCTGCCCGAACGTGGAATGCATTACGTATCGGAATTCGTGGAACTCAAAGGAATCGTCGTAAGCTGTGGCATGAATAAACTTTCGGCGAATAATCAGCGACAGGTGTGTCGCCCGTGATTCGGAGTCGCGTTACTCCGTTTCTTCTTCCTCAGTGAATTTAATGGATTATAATCGAACTTCTATAAATCGTCGTGCAAATCCCCTCCCTCTCCTCTCGACAGACCCTGAGTGCTCACTGCGATCGTAAATCTCGACCGGCTTTGCCAACAATTCCAACGGCATACATCCTATCTACACCGACGGCAATTCTCCGCGATCGTCGCGGATTCTTCGACCAGTTCCACCTGCAATCTGCAGCTGCATCTCCTCTTCCATCGGTTTCTTCTGCAGCGAATCTTCTCCGCGTCCTCTATAGACCCATCCGATCTTGCTGAGCCTACCTCGTTTCTTCTGACGTGAGCTACGATTTTCTTTCGGAGCAGATATATCGGAAGATTTGTTTTAACAGAAGTTCTAACAGACGATTTCTTTAAATAGAAAATAAGAAATATCGGCAGAAAAAGTTTACAAAAAAATTAAAAATATCTTTCTTCATACACAAATTCAGCACATTTCAAGACAGCAAAAAAATAACGAGAACCTTATTATAAGTGATAAGATAGGATAGTCGATAAATGCCCCGCCAACGACAAATGGTAAATGTTTCGATAAAAAAATCGCAAATTTAATTATAAATTACATAATAGAAGGCATAAAGAAGTTGCACACGTAACAATTATTTAAAAATTTATCATAAAGAAACATAAAAAGTATATACATATGTATGTATGCGAAATATTGGAAGATTAGGAGGAGAATAAGGGAAGAATTTCTTGTGGAAAGAACACACTGCTGCGTACACGCGAACGAACGTAAAACAAATTTAAATAAGACACAGATAAAAGGTAGCTCTTTGCGGAAGAAGCCGCCACGGAGAAAATACGACGAGGGTCGCGCGCATTCACAGTTCAACGCCTCGCATCATCCGCGAGAATCGACGTATAGAGATAACGCAGCCAGCTGATATTCGTCTTGGTTTAACGACACATGTGCGTTCTTTCTCTCTCTTTCACTCGTTTCGGCTACGCTGTTCAATAGTCTATCTATATTTAGCACAAGTGTCGAGAGGGAAAACGCGACGAAGAAATATTCCGAAGGAACAAGTCAGCGCGACGAAAGGACCGTCACGAAAATCCAAGAGAAAAAGATAAAGGAAGAAGAAGAAGAAGAAGAGATGTAATCATTGTTATTACCACGACTCTGAAGATCGTGTGTGACTTGAATTCACCCGCGAGGACGAGAGGGTATTCCAAGAAGCACATTATCGTGGTATTGCTAGTATCTTGATAGCGTACCCTTGACATCGCGCTCCGCAGTCGATACCGAACGCAGACACCCGATACGCAAAAATGCGGTAGCGCGGAGTCGGAGGGCGAATTGGAGCCAATCGAGAGAGAACCGTTTGCGATCGAGACCCCAGTATCGCGCGGTATGGCTAACACAATGCGTGTGACTATCTACGTACTACGAACAGCGCGCCACAAGATAAAATAGACGTCGACACAAACGTGACAGATAAAAAAGCGCAGAGCTCGACTGAAAAAACGTCGGTATCCTTTCAACGCGTGTGAAAAGAAACTGAATATCGCACTGATAATCCGTGTCAAATAGGCATGATAACTTGTCACGATAATCGGACGCAATTTGCGCCGTGAATTACACGTGGTTCCTACATCGCTTTGAGGAGATTTGGGAAATGTGAAGACATGCTGACCACTGAGAATCCTGAAGAGTCGCCAAAGCGGCGATCCACGTTCTACGTGCCATTGGACGGCAGCGAGCCGGTGCGGCATCAACCGATTGCAAAGCTGACTAAAGGCCACTCAACAGATGGCAGTTGTGAAAAATTTGCCTGCAACACCTTTCCCATCGGCAGTACGGCTAAGACGTCAACGTCCGGATCGCTTACGCGCACTTTGAGTAACAACGACGGCTTCACGTCGAGGAGAAATGCAGATGAGACGTTGCCCGAGATAAGAGGGAAGGTGCAGTCGTTGACGAGGATTTTCGAGGCGTCCAAGTGCGAACGGCCGTCCGCGACGTCCAGTGGTCAGACGGAACAGAGGAAGAAAGTCGAGAGAACCAGATCGTTCAAGACCATCGAGCGATTCCAGAGCCGATTCACCGGTAGGAAGGACTCCAGCAATAGAAAGGATAATCGTTTAAACAACACCATTGCCTGCTTCGAGGTGGAGAACGATGCCGGGTGTAGAAAGAAGCCGATGAATGCCGAAGAGAAACCCGCAGCGAGAATCGTCATCGAGTCGGCTCCGAAGTCGGCCGGATCCAGCCGCGAGCACAGGAGCAGCCATCAGGAGCCCAGGATCAAGCAGAACACGACTCTTACGAATCTTCTGATCCGTAGAACTCACAGCACAAAGTTAGCAAGGAGCAACAGCACGTTAGTGCGTCTCGGAAGGCACGCTTCCGTCGATAGTCCTTGTACCGTCGAGAAAACGGATGTTCGTGCAAATAACGATAGGTTCAAGAACGAAGAAACCACCGAGGATCCCGCTGTCGCAGATGATGAATGCATCGAGTCGTCCGTCTTCGAGGACGCCGATATCGACGGCGGAATACACTCAGGTAGACAAACGAGTCTTTCCGGTTTATTAACACACCATGTAGATTCTCAATCCGGATCGTCGATGCAATAAATTAAATATCCGATAAAGATGCATATTGTTTAGCATAATTATGCTGAACATTATGCTGATTACCACGCTAATGTGATTCCAGATTGATGTTGATTCATATAATGAAAGTGGTTCATTGAATCACTGGAGTAATTTTACAGCTTGTCATATATCTATTAAATATTTTAGTAGAGCAGCTAAACATTATCATTCAAAATATATGAATATTTTTTGTCTCAGATTTAAAAGAAATATTCTTTTTCGATTTTAGCAAAAAGTTCAAATAGATTTTACAATATTAAGATTACTTTATATTGATAAAAAAAATTTATGTACGATAGGACAGTCAATAAGTAACTTTAATTTTACCTTTCACAAACAAGATGACAAAAATCAAAGTTAGTTATTAACTCACTCGTATATATTTTTTACGAATATATTTAAAGGAACCTTTTTCATCGTGAATATCATATTAAAGGTAACGTTAAGACCATGAAGAAATTTAATTGAATTTATACAATACATACTCGACATTAATTATCCTACTGCAACATTATGTTATTATAATGAATCGAAGCGCAAAACGATATGAGGTCTATATGTTTAGTGATTGGATAGTAAGATATTTAATAGTAACTTACTCGCAAGGTCAATCATATCGGTACTTAAAATCGCTGGAATGGTCTTCAAATAAATCAGCCGGATGCGCCGGTTTACGCGAGTAAGCAACGAGTGGTAATTAGCCACTTCCGCAAGGTTTCTGACGTCAGCCTCAGCCCCTAAACGATTTTTGTTTTCGTCTTGATAATTACGCAATAATTACACGTTACGCTGTTCCCAAAGCTGCATTTAACAGTATAGCAAAGTTTATTTATGAGAACATTGAAAGAGTTCTATCGATAACAGATTCTAAAGATTCGCTTGATAAGGTCTCGATATATGCAATATATATATAAACACAGATCTGTTATTCACTTCTGAAAATGTTTTATAAATGACCAAACGGTATACTTATCCCATGATTATCGCAAAGAAATCCTTTTCACACGCACCTGCAGTGAAATTAAAAATGATTTTATTTTTTAAATAATATAAAAACTATATACACACACACTTAAACTGATTTATTAATTTTTTTTCTAACATGAGTATTGCATTTTTTAATTAAAAATTTTAAAAATTATGTGCGTTATGATTTTGTTACTTTCTTGCAACATAAACTGTAACAAAATATTTTTTTTGCTTTCGTGAAAACGGTATATATTATGTTGCACTCAGTTTTAAGTGTACTCACTCGACATTATGCTCTAAAAGTCTAAACATGGCGATCAAAGCATTAAACTTTTATGAGCCATAGTATAATCATAATTACAAAGCGCAAAATTACAGAGTACGTTCATCACCGAAAGAGTCACGGGACTTTTAAGGGAAGCATATGCGCGTAATGATTATATACGCAAGCGAAACGGCGTTACGCATTATTGTCATATCTTTCTTGATAGTATATCAGCTTTTTGCAGGCGATGATAATATTTACGCGTAAAATAATGCGTACGCGGAAACATTAGTGATCTCAACATTCACATAACATTTTCAATATATTTCTCATTTCATTTGTCATCTATACTTATAAACCGAATTATCTTATTTATCTTAAGAGAGAGTGGAGATAAATATTATATCTTTCTCTAAACAATACTCTCAAATTATTTATTAAATTATTCTTAAAATTATTCAGTACTCTTATTTTAGAGCGTTTTTAAAATATATCAAAATAACAATTAACGAGCGTTAAACGAAATGTTAAATTATCTGTCAAAACGTATTCATTATAATAAACTTTCTTTTTTCAACACTTTTTATCGTTAGTCGAATATACGTTGTAGGCAAGAATGTTGATCGTGAAAGGATTATTTAATATGATTCACTGCAAATCTCTGTTCCAAGAAATATGCTTCGTTCAAGTCTTTAAAATTATAGATCGCGTTTCGCCCTGTAAATAAAGCAAGAGTCTTGCATTAAATAATTTACGGTTTAGAGATCGGAAGAGCTAAAGTATAAACGACAAGGCTTTATCTAATTCAAACTACGGCGAATGAATCGTCGCACTTCACATCGGCATGTTCTCCTTCCCTCGAGTTAATTGTGAAGAACGCAAAGCACACACAGCTAAACACGGTTATCGAAGTAAATACACACGTTCGCGCGTATTAAATCTTCCTTCGGCTTCATTCTAGTACCGCGGATGATGGAGCGTCTACTCGCATTTTCCTCTTCGCTCTCCATAAAATTATCTTGATATATTGGCGAAACTTAACAGGGCTGATCTAATGCTTCCGAGAATCTTATTATGGTACAATGAAGAATCAGCAAAAATAATATACATATACAGAGTGTCCCAGATCTTACTTTTTAAATTCGATGTCATTTATAATTAATTCCTAAATTTAAATATCGAATATTTTATTGATTTTTTAATTCATTAAATTATAATTTAATTTTCTTAATTTACTATTAAATGGATTAATATCAATTTTATCCTGTATTTGAAACAAGAGATCTTTTTTTCTTCATCTTTAATTATTTATAACTTTTTAGATTATTTACGTTTTTGCTAAAAAAAAATCGATTTCGGACTAATTAAGAACTGTATATGTGTGTGTGTTTTTAAAAGATGATCTATTGATTCAGATCTAGGGTACCTTCGTATATCTCGTTTATTTCTATTCCGAGAACAGCAACTTGTGTATTACGTTGTTTTTTATCGTGAATAGTATCATTGGAAAGAATATTCATGATTTAGTCTAATAAAATACAGAACAAGCCGTTCGTAATATAAAAATTTATAATATAACAAAAGAAATAATACTATAATTTATACAATATTATATAATTTATTTATACATATATATGTATAAAAGATAAAAAATTGTATCTAAACAGATAACGCATTGAATGAGAGGTTCGTATATTATTATATAATATTTCAATTAAGAAATTTTTAAGCAATACTTTTTTATATTTTCTAAATGTCTTAATATTGCCTGTCACAAATTCTCAACGAAAGCAGAAATTGTTTCTAAAGATATCCGATCCGTAGCGAGAGAAAGAGGTGTAAAACGTTTCACATGGACATAAATAAGGTGTAAGACATTTCACATGAACGTTTCATAGCGATCTTACGTTGTCTAAATCCACAATCTACTTTGCCAGAGCTTATTGCATCGTTTCTAAACTTATGAAATTATTCCGACGTGCCGATAAAACGAAACCAAGCGAATCTGCCGCATGGTTTCACGAAAGCGCCATTGCGACACACCGCACGCCGTTTTCTCGATGCCATTTACTGCTCCACGACTGTTTCACCTTCTTTCCAACGTCACGATCTCTCTATGCTAATTTCGTCGGGAAGTAGGAAATGGTGCAGCGCAATAGATCCACAGAAAGAATGGCAAAGTGGTAAATAACGTTTACGTTACTACACGAATGGAATAAATGCGATGGACGTGGCGAAGGTTTTATCACCAAGTTTAGAATGATTTATACTACGACCAGTAGATTGCAAACTGTACTCAACCAAGTTCTTTAGCCCTATACATTTTTATGAGCATATACCGACGGAAAAAGCGCTATTTTTTTTTATCATATAACAGATTATCGTAAACGTTTTTTTTTTTTTTTTTTTTTTTTTTTTTTTTTTTTTTTTTTTTTTTTATAGAAAAAAGTCCATTTAGGTATCAAGTTCACGCGATATTTAAAATTTAAAAATAAGGTATATTCTCGTTCGAGTATATCGCTTCATGTTTGTATAATAGAATGTGAATTCAACTGGTACTAAGAGTTTGGATTTAAGAGTTATGTTTCGTGACGTAAAATTTCTATATTTTCAAATTCGTAGAACACGATTTGCACAATTTAAAGAGAACTAGAAATGTCAGTCACTGGTAGATCGTATCATAGATTCTATTCGTGTAGTATATGTTGAAAATTGTACGGTAAATTGGACGGGTTGAGTGACAGAAATGAACGAGAGAATTTTTACGGTGGTCTCGTAAATCAGGCCGATACAAAGAGGAGAGAAAGAGCAGAAGATCGAATTTCGCGATTCTGTCGACGAATTCGTTGGTACCGTTAGGACGGCAGAAATTGCATCGCGACGCCCGCCATCGCACATCTTTTATTTCCCGTCAGCCGAAGACCATCTTAATTAAAGAATCGAAGAATTACACACGTTGACTCATAAGTTGTTCAAACGAGTCATTACTCTCCGTTCACCTTTCGCTATGCGCGTAGCTATACTGTAAAAAATAAAAATTTAACCAGTAAATAAATGCAAGAAATATATATGTGTAATAACTAATGAGAATATTACGGCTCACATTGCTTTTTATTTTTAAATTTTACTTGGAAGAAACTATTTCTAATTATATTTTTTAATGTGTGTGTGTGTGTTCTGTAAAATATGTATTAACATGTAATTATTAAGATTTTTAATAGCTATACATTTTACAAAATTAATTTATAACATCAGAATTTAAAAAATAGAAGAATCGGAAAAAGGATTTATTTTATTTGTGAATAGGTTTTGTATTTATTTTAGTATTTCTTTTTAATTGTCCTCGTAATATTTGTAATAAATTGTGCATTTAATCGATACGATATCGTTGTTAAAGCAATATAAAGGTATATGTTATTTTTGGCAACGGTTGGCAAGATTAATAAGCCTGACAGGAATGTGGTCCCCGAGATTTTTGTGACTAACTAGTTGGAACACGTGATCGCTAACAACAGAGAATCCCCACCGTTTGCAAATCGTGTTGATTGCAATCCAAGGACCTGCATCGACATTTTTGAGAATCTACTTATATAGGGGCCTTTCGTTCAACCACCTGCCCTTCTCGACTTCAAATCGAAAGAAAAAGTCGCCGTGATTATAGCTCGCTCGACCAA